ATCCCACAGCGCTGCAGAGCTACAACGTTCAGCTCTGGTTGGAGTTAAAGTTCATCAGCACGTCAGTAAAACAGGTTCAACATGATGAGATGAGATCAGCGTTACTGATCCTCACTCCTGTGGCTGTTCCAGGACTTTTAGAACCCTGTTGATCATTAACGAAGTGATGCACATTACAGAGTGAAACACATAAATGTCATCGAGCCGATTGCATCAATCTTAGGAATCTACTCAATCAGTTTTTTTCCTGTAGAGTACACCTGCTTGAGATGGAACATTTTTCATTGGGGATAAAATGACTTTTCATTATAGCTTATGTGGTTAAAATGTTTACTTTAAATAGAAAACATGTATGTTTTATTTAGTCTCAAAAAGTAGAGCAGGTGGAATATACATATTGTATTATTAATACAACATAAGTACCAGTTTTTCAAGGTTTGCTGTGACAAGTGTCAGAGGAGTTACCATCATGCATATGTAAAGAGACCTCCACAGATGAGCAGTACTTCTGCCCTGCATGCAAGTGATGGTGGCCCCCATGTCCAAAAAGATCTTCCAATAGGTTTGTCTGAACTACCCCCACCGTGAAGGTCACAGTTTAGCTTCCTGACAAGGCAGAAGAGCTGGCTGGTTTCTTCTGTTTATTAAATATGTTCTCTCTCACCACTTGAACTTGAAAACAGGTCAGACCTATCAGCTGTGTGTTTATACCAACAAACCGGACCTGAGTGACTCGGCCAGAACCGATCAACATGATCATCCTGTTGGACGGGACACACACTGATCACGTCAACATGCTCTGATTGCCTTCTGGAGCTTCCTTAACGATCTCACTGTAATTAATTATCATCAGCACGGTGTTCTATCCAATGACATGAGGAGGGACACAAAAGTGCTCCAAGGCAGCACTCCTGAAAGTTAACGTTTATTTATTTATTTTTTATTTGCAATCCTAATTTCACATCATGTGGAGCTGATCAAACAAGCAAACAATCATAGTCAGAAAAAAAATCTGTAATTGAAATGTTATAAGGCATATCTGAATATCTAAAGTGAATACAAGAATTTAATGCATTCTGCAATGTTATAGGTTAAAGCAACTAATGAAAGACAAGGAGGCAACTTGGAAGAGTTCTTATCTTTACTCTGTTTTATTCAATATCTGTGTTGTTGAGCCTCTACAGTTAAATACCCCTGAAGTAACTTACACTGTGACTCCTAAAGAAGTGTCTTATGTCCAGTTTTCTTGAACTTTGACGTCCTTCAAATCTTACTTACCAAGCACACACACACACACACACACACACACACACACACACACACACACACTGTTTACTGTAATCTGCGTCATAAACCAGAACACCGTTTTCAGCTTCATGATAACTGAGCTGTGCCACTGAAGACGTCTGTTTGAACGTTAAACTGATGAAACTTGGTTCACGTTTCAGACTCACCCTGTGACTGTTGTCAACAAATAAGGTTTTAGTGTCTCGTCCAGCTCAGTGGGTGAAACCACAGGTCCTCGGTCAGCTCTGCAGACTCTCCACTGCTCCAAGCCTCAGGTCCTCCTATCACACTGTTCAAACCTCTTCTCTACTGTCAGCCCGATTCTTTAGTTGGAAGCCCAGAAACAAACCGGAGAAATCTTCACTTTATGTCGGTCACAGGTAAAGTGAGGCAGCGCTGGGCGGACACTGTTCTCGCTGAGGTTCTGCCCCGGGCGTTGTCTGGAAATTATTCCCGTTTACCTGCCGTGTACAGGGGTTGGAGTTGTAGGCAACAGAAGTTAATTGGCCAGTTACTGTGACGTGAAGGAATACCATTCAGGATAACCAATAGCATGTGTCTGCCGAACATCATCCTCCACGTGACGGTGGTTTCAACCCAGTTTTGTCTGTTTCAAGTATGAGCGCGTGCACATAAAATGGGCGGAGAGTTATCGGCATCTGACCAAACAGGACTATGGACCAGTCTGGCTGCAGAGCGAGGAGCAGATTATAATCTTTCCAAGATATGAAGAATAATATAAAAACATCACAGGAGGAGGAAGCTGCTGCCTGTGTGAATGCATCAGTTCATTAGTTTATAATAAAACATGATCACTGTTCCATCATGAAGGCTCGTATCAGACAATAAGCACATCTGAGGATTCCTTTAACTCATGTGCTGCCTGACCTACAGACTTGTGGCATATCTGACATGTTTAACTTTCAGCTGCAGCCCCCGTAGAAAGGATGTGGGAACAAATTAAGATCAAACACACATAAATCAAGGCTGTGCAGCTTATTAACGTGTCCTACAGATACAAGCTTTAATGCTAAAGTCAGTTTACTGCTGTGGGCTGATGTTGGTATGGAAATAAATATGAAACAGCTTTGACATTGTCTGTAGCCGACAGGAGATAAATGAATAAAGGAAAACAGGCGCTCATAGAGATCCTGGTCAGCGGCCACCAAGGGGTTCTGCCGGTCCTGAAAAACCCTCACACACCTCAGTGATCCCTCACAGTTCATGCTCTGATGTGTAGCGGCTCTTCTATAGATGCTGATGAAGCCATGTTGTTGAGAACTGCTTTGTTTTCTGCTCCTTCTGAGAGAACTGATTTTCAGTGGAGGTGCTTTTATCCCCAGTGATCTCAACCTCCACCAGAACCTGCTAAGAGGTGAACCACCGTCGTAAGACTGACAACCCAGGATTTACCCTGAAGTTACCTCGTTAACCCTGAATCCTGCTTCCTGGTACAGGCCCCTGGCCAAGCATTGTAGAAGAAGTCCACTGCAATGTAAACAGAAACTGCATGGATCAAATACAAAGCGTGTGTGTGTGTGTGTGTGTGTGTGTTGTCCAAAGGCATGTGTGCAGTCTGAGGAAGAGCATTTTGCTCGAAACGTCACGCCAATAAATTGTATAAGGGAGCCTGTTTTTGGTGTGCGGATCGTTCTCTTCTTTTCTCATTTTTGACATTTTGTGATCCAGCACCCAACCCAGTGGACCTCAGGGATGTGCGTGCCTTTCCTTCTTTTGACAAAGGCATGTGTAGCACACTGGGTTATTTCTATTGTTTATGAGTTTTTCCATTCAGTTAATTAATTCAAGATAAGTTGGTTGCCGATGTTTCATTTAATTCATACTGTGAATGTCAGTTCTGAGAGCCTTTAAGTAGAGAGAAATGTGTACGTCCCCTTTAAGAGAAGGAACGCTGTGTTTTGCCCGAGAGAAAAAAAAGAGAAGTGTGAGGCGATGTAGAAACGGGACATCCGCTTGTGTTATAATTAAGTATGATTCAAGCTATTATGTGTTCTGAGTCTGTATTTTTCCATGAAGCCTATGGTTCTTATAATCAGTTAAGTTTCAAGTTATTATGTATTCTGAGTTTGCATTTTGTGCTGAGCTTATGTCCTTGAAAATAATGTGGCCAGTGAGAACTGGTTTGCACACCTGGAGATAGTGGAAACTCCTCTTTTCTATTCTAAGGACGTGGACAGAGCACAGAAGGATGCCTGTCCACGCCATTAGTAACTGGCCAACTAAATCTTATCTATGTTGGGGGCAGGCCCAGCCCAAGAAGATATCTGTAACCTGGAACCGAAAACACTCAGTTCAGCTGGACATGAGATTCCTCTCTGTCCCTCTGAATTCCAGCGCTGCAAAACTTTACCTGTGACCTAAATAAATTCTGCATCTGAGAACTGAAGATTTCTCCGGCTTGTTCTTGGGCTTCCAACTAAAGAACCGGATCTAACACTTGCTTGAAAGAAACTTGGGCATTGTTCGCTAAATAAATGTTTCAGAAAACCAAATTGAACGTGGTCCCGGCTGTTCATTACAAGGGTGCAACACGTGTATCTAAAGTAACAGTCCTACTGATAGAATAGAGGAGTTTCAGTTGTCTCCCAGTATGTGAACCAGTTCTCACCAACCATGTTGTCTTCAAGGACGTGCATCAGTAGAAAAGTGCAAAACAGGCTCATAGGTTCAGTGGAAAAATACAGATTCAGAATACATGATAGCTGGAAACATAGCTAATTATAACGCGACCATCGTTCATCTCACTTACAGCTTCAGTTTCATTTGATTCAACAGAACAAAGTGCACAAAGGTTACAGCTCTGCAGACTCTCTCCTCAGATGGTGGAGCGTCTCAATAGTTCCTGGAGGTCAGAAGCTGGTGGAGACGTTTATGATGCACTTTACCAGGTCAGACGTTGAAACAAGAGCCTTTATTACCATCAGCACATCACAATCCAGCTAACAGGGATTAAAGCTGGTCAGTGGATTCTCTGAGTCAATCGGTGGTTGAAGGAACGTTAGCAGGAAACAGATGAGCAACAGAAAGTCGCCACTAACACACTGATACCTGGTGATTCACTGCTCTGAGGGACATTTCATCCAAAGTGCTGGAATCACAAATGATGCATCTAAACAGGATCTTTGATTTGTACTTGTTGTGGGTGCAGGGAGTTAAATATTTAAAATGTAACACTGAGTGTGACTGAACAGAGGTGGAATCAGGAGATCTGTTCTATGGAGAAACTCGTGAAGTCCAGCTCACGGTGCTGCTGATCAGGAGTCAGAGTCCAGAACCGAGACGTCTACACAGTGAACTCAGATGGAGGTGAAGAGTTGAGAGTTTCTGGCTCTGTCTCTGTGTTGAACACGACCTGAATACATGATGCTGCAGCTCAGTGGATTCTGGAAAGACGGCAAAGAAAGAAGGGAAGCTGGAAGGTGTGTGTTTGAGTCGACTTAAAATAGTCCAGCAGTTCTGAAAAATGTATCCCAATAAGTTAAAAGGGAAATCTTACTAAACATTTAAAGTAGCTACTACTGCTGTATTAAAGTAATTTTAACTTTTAAGCCACTGTCAAGTAATTAGTTTTACTTTGAAAGTCTCTTCCTGTGCTCCGGTGTCGCTGCTTGAAGACGTCACGTTGCTAGGTAACCTGAAGTGTTCAGCCAGCAGAGGAGCTCATGAGGTAGAAGTTTAATGTTCTTCACTAACTAATGACTAATCTAATCAACAAGCACCACAGTAAGGTTTATTAGTCAGGACGAGCTGTTATAACTTTATCTCTCCATTTATGAGGCTAAACTAAGTGTAGCTCGTGTTTTTGTTTAGCTAGCTAACGCTGGCTCTCACATATTTTAAGTTCATTTCCGTTATTGAATCTCTGACATCTGGTTTATTTCTGTAGTTCAGCTGAAACGAAGCTGGTTTTATTAGACAGGAACCTTGAGGGAACGTTTCCTGAAGGTTTCACGTTTTAATTAATACCAAAACGTTTATTTTCCTTTCAAAGTAAATGTGAATATTAACGTTACACTGAAGAACAACTCTTTTACACGTGAATAAAAATGATTTATTAACTTCAATATCACAACAAATAGGTACCTATGTATTGTTTTAGACATTTCTTGTTTACTGATGTTTATTTTCAGCTTCATAAACTAGATAATGGATGGATTGCTCTGTGTAAAATAAAAATATTAATCTGTAAACCAATTACTATGATGTTTAGATAAATGCAGTGGAGTAAAATATACTTTAAATTTCTCAAGAACTGTAATTTTGAGTAAGCTAAAAGCAAACAAACCAATACAAAAAGGTGAAAGTACAAACCTCTGATTCCTGTTGTTGGAAATTACTACACCTGTTGAATCTGAAACACACAAAACCCTCTCCTGGGTCATCGTTTAATCTAATGTTGTAAACAATATAGAGAATAACTGGATTTGTCCAGATTCTTAAAGGAGAAGCAGAAATGTGACAGGTTTTATAGGAACCAAGGCTCCTTTTCATTGGTCAGGATACGTAGTTTTGTAAACCTGTGATCAGTTTTCTTTGCCGTACAAGAAATGACAAAAGACAAAAAGGCCTTCAGAGATCAAAACAAATCTCCTGAGGTAGACCTAGACCAGAGATCTCCAACTCCGGTCCTCCTGAGCTACTGTCCTGCTGGGTTTAGACGTTACTGCAACACACCTGACTCACATTAATGGATCATGAACAGACTTGTGTAGAACTTGACAACAAGATGTTGGAGGTCCATTTATGTGAGTCAGGTGTGTTGCAGTAACGTCTTAAACCTGCAGGACAGTAGTTCATGAGGACCGGAGCTGGAGATCCCTGACCTAGAGTCTTACCTTCTGACCCCTTTTCTTGTAAACTTGTACAACCTACATGCTTGCTGAGCTCATTGAAACACAGAATAAACAAATGAATAATTTAACATAGAGATAAATGACAACCACTCCTTCTGAGACACATTATTCAAAAGTGTAGCAACAGGAGTTTGCAGACTGTGAGAAACTGAAAATCTCAGCCAATGTGACTGTCTGCAGTCTCTCCTTCATGTCCGTCTTCTCATTTCTCTTTACACCTCCAGCTTGGAGCAGGAGGAGCCCCAGGAGCCCCAGCAAGAGACGCCGCAGCTGGTGGCGGCCAGAATAATTCAGAGGGCCTGGAGAAGATATCTGGTACGCTGCTGCTGCTGCTGCTGCTGCTGTGGGAAAAACAGACTCTAATTTATGCACAAATTAAAGTACACAGGCATCAAGTAAAACTCTGTTTCCTACCCAAATTGCAGTGCCGACAGGTCTTCAAGTGTTTCAAAGTGCTGATCAGCCAATGTAACCAGCAGGATCCTCAGACGGTCCTCAGAGCCGTCAACCCTCGAGAGGTAACAGAACGATGACCTTAGTAAAATAGAAACAGCTAAAAGAATAAAAATGAAACCTGACTTTGCTGTGGCAGGCTGAGCTGCTGGATGCCGCCGCTGGGGTGTTTATCAGATTTCGACTCGGAGGGGTAAGAGCGAATGAAGGAAACAGCTTAACATGTGCTATATATGGATGTATACCTGTTAACACCAGGCTGATACCTTCTCATTCAGATCACCTTTCCTCCACAAATCTATTACAAGATCTTCACCTATCGGCCCATCGCGGACTTGTGCGCCAGCAGTCCGAGGGATTACACCAAGCTGGGCTGTAAGAAGCGTGTGGTCCTGCAGGCCGACGGTGGCTGGCCTCTTAACGAGGAGGACCGGTCAGGGTGGTACCAGCGGGTGGAGAACAACACCTGGAGGCTGTTCTGTAGCAAGGTACAGTTCTGATCTGTAGATAAACACCTGGAAGACTTCTCAGCTACTGAAAGAAGATACTGAAATCTCCGTTTACCTGTTTCTTCTTCTCTCTGATAGTCGGTTTGCATCGATAAGAGCACTGAGATCGGCGCCAACAAAACAATGGACTTTCATTACTCTAAGCTCCAGCGGAGGAAAGATGTAGAGAAGTGGAGGAAAAGAAGGAAGGTTAAATGGCTGAAGAAGATGTGAGTATCAGTAGGTGTGGCTGGTCTGAGACCATCAAAGTGTTGTGTGTTCAAGCCTCTGGAGCGGCTCAACAGCTGGAAACAGTAATTACAAGATAAATAGAATAGAATAGAATAGAATAGAATTTTATTGATCCCTTTGGTGGAAACCTCAGGGAAATTGTTGTGCTAGCTATCACTTTATCACCTTCACACAGCCAGAAATGGAATCACAGCTTATATGCATGCAAAAAGGCTTAATTTGTATGACTGTATAAAGTACATTACATTATATTAAATTACATTCATAAGGAAGAATATAACTGATAATATATCGTTCAGCTTCATACAATGCAAACTGCCCACGATTTGTATAGTTTCTGTGCAGTAATTGGATTTTCTTTCTTCTTTTTGGGGGGTATTTTGGGCGAAAAAATAAGTCAGGATGGATTAGAGGACAGCTGAAATATCTTGGAAGCACTGTTTATTGTCATGATGTTGTTAGGCTCTCTTCTGGGTTTCTCAAAAATGTTCAAAGTAAGAAAAAACACATTCATTCAACTGCAACTGCTATATATGATGAGCACAAAGTCAAATTATGCCAAATGGATAGTGTACCAGTAGCACCAGTAGAAGTCAGTGAATGGAACCAGTAACACTGGTTCCAGCAGCAACGTATGTCTGCAGCGAAAGCTGCTAAGAGGAGCTGACATTAGAAACTACTGGTGCTACCAGACAAAATCCGCGAACCAGCTCAAAAGAGGAGTGGTTCTCTGCACATCTTCCAGCAAAATGAAGCTTAAACATTTGCATCTGAGCCAGAGGGAAGGACTGAAAGAGCTAGAGCACACTGCCTAATTAATCATTCCACACCCCTTTTTGTATTCTGAACAAGAGAATGTTTTATTGCTGAAACATCAGTTTTACACGTGTAAAAAAAATTAGAATAACTGCATCGTGGTTGTGCGCCTCCACCAACCAGTCAGGTTGCAGGTTTTTCTGTCCTTCTGTTCCTGAGCTGCGGTGTCGAGTAACGGCCAGATGAAGGGTTTTTGCAGAACGTTATGATGTCGAAATTTTGTCGTAATTAATGGAAGAATTTACAGCCCTGAACACACGATGCTCCCGGCCTCGCTTAAAGAACACTGACTGATGTCAGACAGATATTAACAGTTTGAGTGTTTGTTAATACGCTGTAGCCTCAGTCTGCAAAGTGTCCCACGAATGTACATCCAAATAGCCGCTTCTCTTTTATTGACAGTTTCCATAGTTTCATAAGGAAACAGTCTGACATTTTGGGAAATATTCTGTGCCGAAGTCAGACAAGATCACTGCCGCTTTCATGTCTGTACAGAAAATATGAAGGTGCGGAGAAACACAATGTTGTGTTCGCTGTTTGATGTGCAGTCCTGTGAGGAAACGCTTTTCCATCGTCGTCCGGCTTCTCTCCCTCACATGCAGGTATAAGCAGGGCCGGCTGGACGACCATTCACAGCACTCGGTGAAGAATTCGGCTCCGGATGCGATGAAAGCCGCTGAAGAAATATCAGATGATGAAATCCTGAACTGGGAGGTGGACGAGCTCCTGGCCTGGACCAACACGCTGAACTTTGATGAGTAAGATCCTCTGCTCTTTGTCAGCTGGTGTTTTCTGTCAGATAGACTCTTGTTAAACGAGGTCAGAGCTTCTGTTTTCTGCTGACCTACTCTGTGAGGCATGCTGTTTATACCTGCATTGCTTTACTGCGTCCTGCTAATTTGCTCTCCTTCGCTGTGCAGTTACATCGAGGAGTGGAGTCAGCTGGCCTGCAGTCACTCCTCTGAGCTGAGCAACGGTAGAAACATTCCTCTTTGAATGATCTCTCTTGTTCTCTCAGGATGTCAGCTGTATATCTTTATCAGTTCTCATACTGTCCTTCTCTTCCTCCTATAGCTGTTCCTTCATGTCCACTCTGGGTAAATCCACATAAGTTACCTGATGAGTAAAGTTAGATGGATTCAAACTGAAGGTGGCACATAAACCAGGGTAGTAATAAACTATCATACCAAGGAGCTGCATTTTTTTTTTTGGTCAAGCAATCACGTTGCCACTTTAAAATAATACCAGAGGATCACTTTTATGTCCTGTGGCGTTTCCTTCTGAATGTAAGGCTGCGTTTGTGTGACATGAATTTCAACAGTATCGAACCCTGACGTCCAACCGAGTCAAAGTGCTGGTTTCTGATCGTTCATCTGAATATAAGAAAACACGTCTTTGGATGGTTTTGCAAAGCCGCCAGTTAAATATAGAAATTTGATCAAAGACATGAAAACGAGTCGGAAATTCCTCTTTAAAAAAAAAAGGCTGAAGTCAGAACAAATTAGTTGAAATAATAGAGTCTGAATTAACTCAAAGAGACAAAGAACACACAGTGTGACTCACGTTTAGGGAACAAGGTGAACACATGTATGTTTTCAGCGTAACTCCTTCGTGCAGCTCCTGTTTCACTGTAATCAGGTTTGTTAAAGCTCTTCTACCTGTTAACATCACTCTGTTATAGGATAGTTTACGGCGGGTGTTTGAGTGACGTGAACATCAAACTGATCGTAGCCTCTCTCCTCACAGAATAGGTTTCTGGTGAAATTTGAATCTTTGTGCATAGCTGTTGTACAAATGTAGGGTAGCTCAGGATTTCACATGAAAGAAGGAAAAACAGACTTTGAGGGTCCTTGAGGATCTTTCTTTAGGGGTTGATGGACTTTTTCGTGGAGAGGAGCGACCTGAAGAAGAGCCTAAGAGTCGACAAGTCAAGCTGCCTGCATTTAAACTGTGAGTAATTCCCCTTCTACAGTTCAGTTTAATAAGATTGTACCTGCCTTTGATTGAAACCTGGCTTTTCCATAGCTTGACATACTTGTTGTTTTTTCCCCCTTTAGGCAAGTTGTTTTCTGTTTTCTTCAGTAAGTGTGTTCATTCAGGCTTATACAGAGAATATAATGACCTGCTGCCACCTGTAGCTTTGAAGCAAAGCAGCTGAAATGGCCAAAGTGAAAACCAGTGGATCAGATCTCTTGTTCAGGAGTCTGACGAGGCCACAGAGTTCTCTTTACTGGCCTTACAGCCAGTTCAGAGTGGGATCACAGAAGAAGGAACGATCCTCATGGCTCTGACATAGTTTTTTTAAAATTTAAGTGGCATTTTTATACCTGAGCTCCTGCTTTTTATTGAGAAAAATGAGATAAGTAAAAAGTCCTCTTGCTTTTTTACATTTTTTTTATTTTTGCCAGACTTCAATGTTGAAAACGCCGCCTGTGTGCAGAGAGGACTGTCTGAGGGATAGCAGAAATTTACAGTGATTGCCGTTTCAAGGTATTTCTGTTTTTGATAAAGCAGCATGTGTGACAAATGTGTACTGACAGATCAGACTGTTACTAAGAAGTCCTTCACTGCAGTGACCTGCAATAAGGCATTCAACATAAAGGTAATTCTGGTGACTATAGAAGAGGAAAAAAAGACTTCAGATAACTGATATAAGAACACATGGGCACAGAATTAGTTTGAACACAATTGTGTCTCTTCTGCATATGTTCATGATGGAAACGTCTTTATTTATGTCAAACAAAACACAAAATTCCAGCAATATGAGTAAACATGTCATTACATCTCCTGCATGTACGAACACTCAGCTGACTTGAGTATTGCAATAATCTTTAACGGTTCGTCTCTCCACAGTTTGGCGATGTGCCGTCTTCATGACCAACGGAGACGAATCCTCCACCATGATGAGGCGCTGATTCCACTGTCATGAGGCGCTGAATACCTGGTGAAATAGCAAACATGTGGCATGGACTAGAAAAGAATCAACACTGGTCTAGTTCATGTTCTTTTAGCAAACTATTACAAAACCAGAGGAGCTTGTTCAGGCATTGAAGACTTGTTTGGCCACCAATATGTTGATATCAACATTTAGTACATAATGTTGTTATTTATTAAGCTGTAAGCAAAAAGAAGTGTGTGTGAACATGCAAAAAACAAAAATAAAGTGTCTGATGGGACAAATTTCAAACTTAAGTATATATTTTTGTCACATCCAACAGATTCAGATTTGATTTCTGTAGTTATCTGACATCCACTCGTCTGACTAAACTGTCATTTCTGTTAAATGCAGAATACTTCAACATGTGAAAGACAACTCAGAGTGTTGGACAGATTGAGAAAAGAGGGGGCACCCGGATTTGAACCGGGGACCTCTTGATCTGCAGTCAAATGCTCTACCACTGAGCTATACCCCCTGTGTTCAATGTGGTAACAAGCAGTCAATTTCAACTAAGTACTACGAAAAGAAACCTCAGCGCTGATCCTGTGGTTCAGAATGATGACGAATTTAGAATTTAAATCATAAAATATTGCCACCAGAGTGATTATCTACAGAGTACGTGACGGTATTACAATTCCGCTGTGTTTTTATTTTTAGCAGAAGCTGCGCGTAGCGGCTTATGCGGTTGTGACGTAATGAAAACGCGACACAACCGGAAATTCAAGTGAAGCGAAGAGAAAGTGGAACGAACGGAATCACAATGGTACGTTAGCATTTCTATCTTATATATCAATATTTATGTCATTTTTAATTTTATCGACTACTATTATGTTGCTTTCTGTAATCATGAGAATAATTATTTCGCCCCTCAGCAGCGCAGTTTGTGTCCTCATGCTGTCTGAACCTTGTAGCTGTGAATGTGATTAGTCACTGGAGCTAATGCTAGTTAGCGCTAAGGCTAGCTACAGAGCTGCCGCTAAAGAGCTAGCTGGATACTTCCAGCTTTCAGGTGATTGTAACTGGTGTATATATAACGATAAATGTTCGCAAGTGTAAATGGCTATACTGTTTGTTTATTGCAGAATACCAGAGGACTCCGCTCTCAGCTGAAAGACAGCGTACCGGTGGCCGGGCTGTGTCCGCAGGGAGCTTACGGGGTGCAGGACTCTCTGCGCAGCGGGTGAGAAACTGTCAGAAATAAAAACAAACTAGCTTTAAAGCTTTAAATATAACACGGACTACATTTGTGTCACAGCTAATAAACAGCCACATGTGAGTTAACCCTATGTACTGAGACATTAGAATAGAATTGAATAAAATAGAACTTTATTGATCACCTTGGTGGAAACCTCAGGGAAATTGCTGAGTAATTGCCATAATTGCCACATTATTGTGCTGCTGTACGAGCTCCGGATGTGTGACAAGAGGAGCTCGATCATTTATTCATGACAAGAGCTGCAACGATTGACTGATCATTCATCAACTATTAAATTAACCGTCCACTGTTTTTTTATAATCAGTTAAACATTTAAATCACTTTGCTAGACAACAGGTCAGAACTCTCTGACCACAGCTTCTTAAATGTGAATATTTTCTGCTGTCGTTGCTCCTCTATCACAGTAAATGGATAGTTTTTGGTTGTGGATCTTTTATTTTGACATTTGAGAAATCACTGGTTGACATTTTCACACTTTATAGATCAAACAGTGAATCAATTAATGGAGAAAAGTGAATTAATCTGCACTACTTGCAGTTGTATTTCTGATTATATAAAATGTGCATGACATTGATTGTAACCTGTTTGTGTTTTCTTTTGCTGAACAGCTTCACCAGTGTAAAGAACGAGCTCCTTCCCAGCCACCCGCTAGAGCTGTCAGAAAAAAATGTAAGTCCCCTGAATTCTCTGAGAAGAATGAATGATGAGCAGCTACACAACTCACTTTGCTTTATTTATTTGTTATTCTGTTACACTGACAGACAGAAGCCAATTTTATGTTTATGTTCACGGTGGCTTCATTCAGACACATCCATCACAGTAAAAGAGAGACTCACGGAGTTCATACCCTTTATAACATACATGTAAGATGTTGCACAGTACGCCAAGTGACGTTTAATACATACTAATGCACTAATAAACAAAAGATGAATCTAAATGAATAGCAAGTTCATTAAACTGTCCAAATAACTAACAGCCTAGTTGATTTGTGATCTTAATACTGAATGTTCTGTCCATGTGTGATGATGATGTAACTTCTACTTTTTCAACAGTAAAATAAAAACGGCTTGACAGCAGTGATGTTGCTCTGGGGATCATTTACATTATTAGAAGTATTCAATGGCGTTACTGCTCCAAAATGCAGGAATACGTGCAGCTCGCTCTTTTTCTGAAAGGTTGTTTTAAATCAGAGCTCTACTCCGGCCTTAAATGTTTGTCTCCATCTGATAGTTTAGTGGCATGTGGTGAGAAAAGTTTCTATTGCATTAATACAAGTCACGTTTCCTTAATTATATCTAGAATATGTTGTTTTATGTTAAAAGCAGCTCAGTTCCTCCACTCTAGAGCAGACAAAGGAGAGTAAATAAATGCTGGTGAAGGTTGTGGTTTCTGATTGTTTCGTGGCTTTCTGTGCAGTTCCAGCTAAACCAGGACAAGATGAACTTCTCAACACTCAGAAACATCCAGGGTCTTCATGCTCCACTCAAGCTGCAGATGGAGTACAGGGCGGCTAGACAGGTGACTGCAGTCCACATCCCTGACCGTCCTCTTCCTTTTACTTCTCACTCTTTCAGTCATTTTACGGTTTACCTTTCTCCTTATGCTTTCTCCTTCAGATCCAGCGTCTGCCGTTCTTACCGAGCTCACACCTGGCTGTGGATACGCTGCGAGGCAGTGACGACTCCATCGGCTTCGAGGACATCCTCAACGGTGGGAACCTCGTCCTTCCATTGACACCATCGCTGTCTCTCGTGTTGCGGTGAATCTAACCAGCGCTCCCTGTTTGTGTTGCTTTGCAGATCCGGCCCAGAGTGAGATGATGGGCGAGCCTCACATGATGGTGGAGTACAAACTGGGACTGTTGTGAGAGAAGAAGGACACGATCCACACATAGATTCTTACGTCTGCATACATTTATCATCTTTAAAAGAAAAAAATTAGCAACTCAGCTGCTGTACGGTTGGAGTGACTAGTTTTGGGCAGGAAGCGGGCTTGATGTGTGAGTGGGGTGAGTTTGTAAAATACATGTGTGTTAAAACGGTCATGCAGACAGACTTCATGGCTGCTTTTGTATGATTCCAGTCGGGTTGTTATTTCTAATAAACTTCAGAACTTTCCCCATGATGTGGCTTCATTTGATCACTCATTGAACTGTTCATATTGTTACCTTGAAGCTTGTGTGGTCACCAAGATATCAAACTACTGACGTGGTCATGGCTAAAGCTCCAGCTGCTGAACTTCCTGATCAGACTGATGGAGCACCAGATAAACTACTGATCTGTTGATCTGTGGGGATGTTTGCACTGTTTAACGGTGGCTCTGCTTGGAGGTTTGAAGACGATGCTGCCCTCCAGAGGTTTGTTAGCAGAAACTGATGTTTTTCAACTGAAGGTGTCGAAGTTACGATCGAAACAAAATGAGACAAAAGTTGAAACTGGCTTCAGCTGGCTTCATGCTGCTTTAATGCACATAGATTTCATCAGTTAATATAAAAACCTTTTTCTTTTAAATCAGAAAATAAGTGAATGTTTAAAAAAACAAGGTCTCCTGTTCTGGTTGTGTAGTGCTTTCATACAACCAATTAGTGGCATCACCTGCCTTCACCTGATGTTTGGGCCTCGTTAAGCAGTTCACATGCTCTGTAGTGATTAAATCTGCTCGCTGACTCATACAGAATAACACCTGATGGAAGCTTTTGTTGCATCGTACATGAAGAACTGAAGCTACACATCAATCAGCTGCTGAATTTAAACCTCTGGCAGGTGAAGCTAATACCAATAATTATGTGGTTACCATGGCACCTGTCAGTGGGCGGGATGTTCTAGGCAGCAGTCAGTGAAGGTACCACGCCTTCATGGTGGTGTTCGTTCATGCATTGATGCTTCCTGCAGTGTGTTTGGGGTCTGTTTGTCGTTTACCTGCATGATGAAAGTCCAACTTTGTGCATAGAGACGATAAACCTCCTCCTGCTGCCACCATGTGTTCCAATATCAGCGACGATGAGCGAGCTGCTTCCACAAGCTGCCATGTAAACCCCGACTGAGACGCTTCCTCCTCATGTATCGCTGGACAGGTTTGAGCTGCAGGTGTGTCCTGTTTGTCTCCACATCTTTTGCTTTCCAGAAAACTTCCTAAACAAGTTTTCTTTCTAGTTTGTCTTCTTTTCTTCTTTTTGTTTTCTCCTCTCACACATGAGCTGTGTTCAGTCACTGTGAGCGTCTGGTCTTCATGCTGCTGTGTTCTTTTTGGGTCACATGAAAACAAGAAGTAGCTGAAATGAAGCCAGAAAATCCACACAAACGGAACAAGTTCAACCCCTAAGTTAGTCTTTTATTTAGTATTGCACACCCAGAAGTGGCAGAAATCAACATAGCAGGGCTACTTCTGTGAATCTCTAAAGACCAATGAAGCTTTTATTTTATTTCACACCCATTTTTTTAAATTTAATGCCAGAAATATCAATTTTCCCTCTACTAAACATTCTTCTGAAGGACTCAACACAATACACGAGTATCGTTTACTAATTACATTTCTTAATTTTTCATCCTGAACTTAGTTTGATGTGTTTTTAATCCCCTCAAAAAAGCAGAATTGCTAATATGTGGATCATAGATTGTGCTTCCAGAGGTTCCTCCAGAGCAGGGGTGTCGAACTGCGGTCCTTGAGGGCCGCAATCCTGCATGTTTCAGATGTTTCCCTTCTTCCAACACACCTGATTGAAATGATCAGCTCATCATCAAGCTCTGCAAAAGTCTGATAACGATCCTGATCATTTGAATCATGTGTGTTGGAAGAAGGACACATCTAAAACATGCAGGATTGCGGCCCTCGAGGACCGGATGTCGACACCCCTGCTCCAGAGGTTCCAACAGAGACACTCTCCTCCTGAAAGATTCACATTAAGTCCTTGTTTTCAGAGCACTTTAACTACTCACATTTTCAAAACCACCAAACTTCAGTGTTTGACCAGAATAAAGCCTCTTCAGCAGTTTGAGGAGCGCCTGATGACTCCATGTGATAAAACTGTTCCCCAACCAGCAGCTGAAAAGTTGTGAACCAGTTTTTCTGGACCAAGATATGGCTGTAAGATGCTGTTAATAAAAAATGATGTTAGAGTCATCTGTCAGTTCAAACTACAAACTCATTGAATGGATTGTGGGTAAATTTAAGTTTTTCTTTCTTCCTGTTTGGGATAAACTGACGAATATAACATCATACATGAAGAGTCCAAGCTACACATCAATTAGCTACTGCGTTAAAACCTCTGGCAGGTGAAGCTAACACCATTAATTATGTGGTTACCATGGCACCAGTCAGTGGGCGGGATGTTCTAGGCAGCAGTCAGTGAAGGTACCACGTCCACGCCTTCATGGTGGTGTTGGTCCCTGACAGCTTGGTTCAGCAGGATGACGCTTCCTGCTACACTGCAGTCGTTCAGGAACACGACCAAGAGTTCAAGCTGCTGATTTGACCTCCAGTTTCTCAGATCTCAGTCTGATTTAGCGTCTGTGAGATTTACCTTTAAATCTAATGCTGCTGCTGACATCTTGGTGTCTGGTACCACAGAACACCTTCATAGGTCCGTAGAGTCCACGTCTCATTAGGTCAGAGCTGTTTTGACAGACCTACAGAACAGAATGCAGGAGGTTTTAACGTGGTGGTCGGACATCTTTTATGAGACACAAGTTCTTGTGATCAGCAGCTCCTTCCGTCTGATCATCTGCGTTCTGTCTGTTTTGATTTAGAGAGTAAAGAGGAGACGGAAGTTCGATGTGAACCTTTGGGGGATTAATGAAGTGAGACCGCTCATTGGAAAGGTAAGTTACTTTACTGCTATTGTCTGAATTCTCAGAATAAAATAACCAAGTGACATGAAATGCTAGAAATCCAAACCAACCCGTCAGCTCATACACTAGACTGTATTTAACTGTGTATTTTGTATGAAGCACCAGGAGCACAAACTACCTCCAGTGCCACCATTTATCACATTTCACCTCCAGTTATATGTCAGCAGGGGAATTATAAACCAAATAAAGCCCCTTTAAACTTTAGGTATGTGTAAAATAATTTTCATTGTTGACAAATCAGCACTTTGACAGCTGGGTGATAATCAGCATTAGTCACTATTTGATAGAATATTCTCTCTGAGTGAACTATAATTAAGTTATTAAGCGTTAGAATTAAATATGTGGCTTTTATTACGTAATGTGGACGTTTAAGAAGCAAAAGGCTAGTCAAGGCCGGTGGTGAGGGAGGGGAGAGAAGAAACGTAGAGGTTCTGTAACTCACTGTAGCAATCAATTGAAATCTCACCACCATCGGACCAACCAAAGCTGCACAGTGCGCCTGCGCGTCTTTATACCGCTCTCCACAGACTGCTGTCTAAAACACGGTGTCGTCATCCTTCAACGCGGCTGTTCAGAAGCGTATCTGGAGTATTTCAACAGGTCTAAAGCAATCAGGTACATTAAATTAATTTATCATGGCTAATTAGGCGATTTTGTCGGTTTTTCTAAATGTTTTCTGGCTGCACAGCATGCTGGGAAAATTACGTCGTGCATCGGGATTGGTTGCGTGTGAACACAGTGAACGTAGCGCCATTTACGCTAAATGTTGGAGTTCCTAACAGCTCTGAGCGAATACACAACCCGATAAAGAAAAGTCTGAAGGCATAAAAAGTTTAGTAATTCTGCCGCTGCAGTGGCCGACGGGAAATATCAAAGATGGCGTGTGTGACAAGAGAGTAATCCGCTTGTAGGCAGCCCGTAGTGCGCATGTGCGAAGGAACAAGAAAAGGCAAAATTCACAACAGTCACTCAAATAGCTAGAAATTTAAAAAAATAAATAAATAAATAAAAATTTGATAAATTATAATTTAGTGAAATAACACATTGTTTTTTAATTGTTGTTGAAAAGAATAATTAAAAAAAAAAAAAAACTGTCCTGGACAAATGACAGCACTTTGCTGATGAGCAGTGAAATCAAACACCTGTCAACAGGTGCAGAAGTCTGACTGAGAGACTTCCATCGTGCTTGTTTTTGTTTGTTTGTTTTTAATATTTTTGTTGGACCACATTTCAAAAGCAACGTCATGATTTTCATTATATTTATTATAACTTTTGTCAGTTTCAACCTATTTAAGACCTGCTGTTTTTTTTCTTCTTTAATTCGAGGCTATGAACACATCTGACTCTAGTTTTGTCCATTTCAAAGACGAAGAGAGGTTTCATTCAGGAGAAGCGCTGTGACATTGCTCATAGATGTAATATTATCACAAAATTACCTAAAAAATAATTTTAATTATTGATTTAATTGGTGTGGCTGAAATTTCTCTTGTTGTTTTTAGTCGCTTTAGTAACATAGATTTACATGTTTCCTACAGAATATTGCAAAACACAGGCGTGTGTGAAATGTTCTGAAGAGTTTTGAGTCAATAAAGTCCATGAATCAGAATGAATGGATTTATCACTGACATGAATAGATTGAACAATTGAAGGAGACACTTTCCCAAACAAAGCAGGATAAAGGAGTAAATTGTGCCTCTACGTGTGTGTGGAGACTCAGCAGGGATGATTTTAAAGAAGAAAAGTTCATCTACAGAAGTAAACACATCAGAAAGCAACACAGAGAGCCTTTGTTCTGAGTTGTCACCTGATTTTCCTTCATTTAAATACAGACGTTTTTACTACAAGTTGATGCAGAAAAGGCATAAATTGGATAAAAGTTACCAGGATGCAGGAAATAAAGTGTTTGATGTTGAAAATGTGAGACTCCTTCTGAACCGGTCGGCCCAGTGTTGAAGCAGAACCTCCACGTCTACTGCAGCACAGAAACAAACCAGAAACTCTAAAGCAGCGTATCAAAGGTTGTTTTTCTTCTTTCTTTCTGAGTTCCTGTATTTCTGGCTGCTGCTGCTATAAAGCCGTCTTCCACTGATCTCAGACTGAAGCTGTTGTTAAGTTATTGATTTACTGGGCTGTTATTCAGCTCAGAACGAGGTCTTCATCATACAAATGTCAAGTATTGCTGGTTCCTAATCAGTGAATCTACATATTAATTCAGTAATGTGTTTATTTAAAACCATTCTCGCTGCTTCATTTGATGTAACCTCCGGCCCCCCTGAC